TTATTCAATACCTAGGACAGAGTAGAAGATTTTCAAAGAATTCATTTATTTTCACTATATATAATCAATAGAGCCCCGCCCTAACACTAGAACCCCTGACCCTGGGACCATAAAATTCACAATTTTGGTAGAGGCACTCTTGCTCATCATAACTATGTACTTAGTTCATTTATTTAATACCCAGGAGCAGAGAAGAAGATTTTCAAAGAAATAATGCATTTTCACTATATACTTATTTAGCCCCGCCCTAGCACTAGAACCCCTGACCCCAGGGCCATGAATTTCACAATTTTGGTAGAGGACTCAATGCTGATTACAATCACATGCAAACAGTTTGACTGCTTGATGTCCATGAGTAAAGAAGAAGATTTTTAAAGATTGCATTAATTTTAGTGGTTTTGGCCCCACCCCTCAGGCCCCAGGGGGGCAGGGATCATGAAATTCACAATTTTTGTTCCCCTTCACCCATAGATGCTTTGTACCAAATTTGGTTGAAATTGGTTCAGTGGTTGCAGAGAAGAAGCTGAAAATGTTCAAATGTTAACACACGACGAACGACGGACGACGACGGACGAAACGGATAGCAATAGGTCACCTGAGTTTACTCAGGTGACCTAATAAAAATTTCTAGGCACACAGTTAATTCAAATGAAAATCATTCATTTTTTATTTACCGATATCTAATCTCAATATCACGCGTGCCATTCATTCAGAGTCCAATATCTGGTTGAATAAAAACGATTATTATATATTCATAACCCAAAGTTATAAATTGTCATCAAAATTTATTAAATTTTTATCAGAAACAAACAATTTTGTCTGTTATACTATTTACACGGTGCAGCTTGGAGGAGAATTTTCTGGACACGCAGTGCGACACGGAGCAAAATTTACTGGACACGGTGCGACACGGAGGACTTTAGCTGAGATTTTTCTGGACACGGTGCGGCACGGTGCGGCACGGTGTGCCTACCTGTATATTTCAAATCCACATACACCGTGCTACACCGTGTACACGGTGTAACACAGAGCGTTTCACACGGTGTTTTTTCCACCGAGCGATGCGGAAAACTCGTGGCCTGTACTGTATGGACAGACAGATGGACAGACGCCGGACGCATTACTATCGCATAAGCTCTTCTGGTCTCTGACTAGTAGAGCTAACAAGAAATCATATAGAAATCAGACAATTATAACTTTAATTGGAGGAAATTTAGCCTTGCTTATAGCAATTTAACATTCCCCCAAAATTATGTTGTCACAGAAATTTGCATCGTCTCAAGCCACGGCCCGGAGTCAGCATACAGCTCTCTCCTACCCATAGCTGCTTGATCACAAAAAGTGTCGTAATCTTGAATATTTACGCCTCTCTATTGTGACGTCATATTTAATATTCAGTGACAAGCTTTGTTTCTATCGCAATTGAAATCAACAACTGACGTCAACAGTATACAAGTAATATTTTCTTTACTGCGATTGGATATTGAAAGGTCGTGATAAAGTTCATTTTCCGACTATGCTTTACTCGCATTGGTCAATATTTTAATGAACTACGAAGATTTCTCTCCTCGTTCAACCACGGCCAGAATGGGAGAGGATCGTACACAGCTAATTGTGCCACGTACGTGTTACATATGGTTGCACATAACACATGTATCACGTATGTGAAATGTATGTATCACATACGTGTATAACAAAGATACGTTTCACATATGTGGTACAACGTACGTATAACATATGTGTGACTACATATGTTTCACATAACGTACGTTAAACGTATGTTTGGAATACACGTATGTGTTACGTACGTGAAACGTACATGTAACATATGTTATGTGCAACCATATGTTACACGTCATTGATAAACGTACGGTTTACATGTGTATTGTCAACCACATGTTACACGTACGTTAATTAACATATGGTTTACATGTGTATAGTCAACCACATGTTACACGTACGTTAATGAACTCATGGTTTACATGTGTTTTATAAAGCACAAATGTCATGTATATATATAGTTTATGTGCATTATAAACCACACATTAAATATACTAATGTACATAAATAAATTATGGTTAACTTGTTTTCTAAAGCTCTCATTATATATATGTTGATGAATATAGTATGTGTATTATCAGGCACATGTTACATATGCATTTAAAAAGGTGTTTTACATGTGTGTGAAAACCTATGTTTGAGAATGAGAAGGCTGTATATTTTGTAAATTCATACTATTACATACATGTATGATAAATGTCGGTTGACTATAAATCTAATCCTTTTTATTTTATTTCAAATTTAATTTATTAATCAAATTATCATTTAGTTTTTGCTATAAAGAGAAAAAAAAACAATGCGTTAAATATTTATTGTTGCTAGGGACTACATAATTTCGCTTAAAATACAGGAACTTTTTGTATAAAAGTATGGCTGACTTCCACAACTAACTATTTTACCTTAATAGTTTAAGTGATTTTGGAGAACTAATCAAGATATTATTTAACATAACAATCAATAGGCACTTAGGGCTTAACCTGTTATTCAGGAAGAAGAGCAATCATAGTGATATGACCATCTATAAAATCCTTCTTATACTATGTATAATGTGTCCTTAGATCAGAAGTTGCATGTATTTTATTAAATTAATAATTATATTTTTAAAATCTAAAATATCTTTTTTTGACATAAACATTGATGTTTGGTTAAACCCAATGACCAGATCACAACTGAAGCATACATGTGTGTGCATTGTTGACTTGTCGTGTGCGTATCTATTGTTTCAATTTATTTCACATTGTTTACCTTACGTCCATTTTCATGTCTGGCATGATGTTATGAGTTCGCATTGGTTTAAAATTTACTCTAAAAACAATAAACAAAGTTTTCTCCAATCTCGTCATGTGTATCGGATATCGGTAGAGGCACATAAAATTGAACTCGGTCATCGGTAGATATAATCAATCCGAATTCAAGAGCAAAAATATATTTTAAAAAAAAGAAAGAAATTCTGTAAGTGTTCACGAGCCAACAAAAATTTACGGAAAATTGTTTATTGCTCTAACCCACAAACCTCTCTCACCGAGGGTGGAAACTGAAAAATACATGTGAGGACAACATTAATTATATAATATAATCTCACAAAACAATACAAGATATTCATACTATCGCTTAATATCAGATTATCAAATAATGACAATTAAGGCACGCCATACACGAACAAAAATAACAAGCGCACATTTCAAATCATAAAAACAGTCATGAGCATCGCTAATAGTGTGAAAGCATTATGTATTATAATCAATTACATGACAAATGACAAATATACACAGTGTACTTACTCTTTAGGGGCACAAACACCGAAATATAGATCAAAGTTTTGTAGAAAAAACGAGCATGGCCTATGCCGGAACAAACAGTAAACAAAGTAATATTCAAACCAAATCCGGAATCAATTCCGGCGCCACTACACTCCCCCTCTGGCTTCGAAGAAGCCAATCAAGTTTAGAATTAGAAAAGATGCTACAATTATAATGATTCCTACCCTCACAATACTAAACACCGGTATGTACAAATGATGTAATAAAGTTGATATATCAATACAACTTGTTGAAATCATAACATTACATATCAAGTACCGTATACATGCACAATGACTAAACCAAAGTTAGGAATGGTCTTAACTACTTAGCCACTTCAACGAGACAACACAGCTGAGTAATAGGTCTCACTTAAAATGTTTTGTTACGGCCACAAAATATCTTGACCTTGCGTACGCGTCCATTATCACTCTCAAAGGTCTCTGTTACTATAGCAAGGGGCCACTGGTTTCTAGCTAACGAATCGTCACGCATCAGAACCACATCTCCTTTCTGAAACTGTCTACCTTCTGTCGACCATTTCTGACAAATCTGTAAGCTCTGCATATATTCTGTGTACCATCTCTGCCAGAACTGATCTGCCAAGTACTGCACCTGCTTCCAGGAACTCTTGAGGGCATCCTTGGTCCCAAACACTGGAATGTCCACTTGTGAGGTATGTACAGTTTTCTGATGAATCAACATATCTGGTAAAAGTACCTGTGGTGTATCTGGGTCAGTTGATACTGCGACGAGTGGTCTAGCATTCAGGATAGCACTAACTTCCATCAAGAATGTAGTCAAAATTTCATGTGTCAAAGGTCCCTTACGGTTCAAGAGTAAGCTGTCCAGTATCTTCCTTGAAGCACCTATCATTCTTTCCCATACCCCACCAAAGTGGGAGGCATGGGGAGGATTGATCACCCACTTGATCTTGTTCTCCTCAAGATACCTTTTTGATGCTGGGTTTTCCACCAGTTCCGAAGGAATGTTTAGTTCATGCACTGCCCCAATGAAGTTTGTCCCGCGATCAGATCGAAACTGTATAACAGGGCCTCTTATGGCTATGAACCTGCGTAATGCGTTGATAAATGAAGCTGTGGACAACTCTTCAATGGCTTCCAAATGAACTGCTCGTGAAACAAGGCATGTAAACATCAAGGCCCATCTCTTCTGATTCACCGTTCCCCCTCTGGTCCGTCGTTGCGTGGTTGTCCAGGGTCCAAAGGTATCCACACCTACATAAGAAAAGGGTGGAGCAGGCTGTATCCTATCCTCAGGTAGATCTGCCATCTTCTGCCAACCGAAACTTCCTCTCAACTTGCGACATGTGACGCATGATTTGATCTCTGATCTTATGAGATTTTTGGCACCGACTACCCAGAATCCACCTGATCGAAGAGCACCTTCCGTCAACAGTCGTCCCTGATGTAGCACTTGGTGGTGGAATTTGCGAACAAGCAGCCTGGTGACATAATGGTTCTTTGGCATGATCACAGGGTGAAGGTGGCCATCTCCTTGTCCATTTTTGTCAAGTCTACCTCCAACGCGGAGTATACCATGTTGGTCAATAAATGGCGACAATGGCATAAGTGAGTGTCCTTTTGGCAAGGGACATCCATCTTTGATGCATCTTATTGCGTCGCCATACGCTTCTCCCTGAGTTGTCTGTATCACAAAAAGTTCTGCGCGTTCATAAGCATTACTTGAGTCAATGTCACTGTGTTTCACTGATTTATATATGAATTGCTTCAATATCTTGACTCCTTGAACAAGAGATTCCCATGTTGAGAATCTTAAGAATCTCTCTGATCCAATCTTGGGGTTAACGAGTTTCACATCATCCACCTGAACTTTGCTGCACGTAACTTCCGGTCTAATCTCACAGTCATTGTTTGGTTCCACTAATGGAAAACATGAGGGTGGTTCTGCAAATGTTTTCGTCAGTGTCCTAAATGGGGGTCCGGTCAACCACATGCTGCTCGAAAGTTGAGTAGCACATACTGATCTCGTAGTCAGATCAGCCGGATTCTGCTCAGTGGGAACATGTGTCCATCGTGTCGGAGATGAGGACGAATGAACACGCTTCACTCTGTTTGACACATAAACGTAGAATCTGCGAGTAGTGTTTGTCAGATAACCCAAGACAATCTGGCTGTCTGTGTAGTATCGAAAGCACTCTGATGGAATACCAAGTTGTTCCTTGATTATGTCTGCAACTTCGACGCCAAGAACTGCGGCGCACAGTTCCATCCGAGGAATGGTGTTGCCGCCATTAGGTGCAAGCTTTCCCTTTCCAAGTAGAAAACTGAGTGTGGGCTCTGAACTGACAGGTCCAAAGAGCTGTAGATATGCAACAGCACCAATTGCATCTTTCGATGCATCGCAGAATACATGTACAAGATGAACACTGGAATCTGTATATGAGTGATCCGAGTATTGCCTACGAACACACACTTGTTCTAGTTCAATTAAGGATTGTACCCAGTCGTCCCATGGGCTTTTAAACATCTCAGGAATTGGGTCATCCCAATCTAAGGTGATTGTACTAGACAGAATTTCTTTCATCAAAAGCTTGCCTTTCAAAATGACAGGGACAGCAAAGCCTATGGGATCATAAAGTCCATTAATCACAGACAATATTCCGCGTCTGGTGAATGGTTTCTTGTCTTTACACGTGCGAAATGTGAACTGATCAGTTTCAATGTCCCAAGAGAGTCCTAAACTTCTCTGCAATGGTAGTGCATCATTACAAAGGTCAAGGTTACAGAGATCCTTAGCCAGCTCACTCTGTGGAAATGAGTCCAACACCTCCCTGTTATTGGAAGCGAACTTGTGTAACCTAAGTTTCCCATTGTCATGCAGAACACGTTGTGTACGAGTAAGCAGATTGATGGCTTCTTCAGATGTACGACAGGAAACCAAGCCGTCGTCGACATAGAAGTTCTTGTAAATGAAGTCCTGAACATCTGTCTCTGCATTCTCGACTGCCTTGCGTAGCCCGTAAGTGGCTACAGCTGGTGACGGGCTGTTCCCGAAAACGTGAACATTCATATGATAGTCTACTAGTGGTTTAGAGATGTCGTTGTCCTCATGCCAGAGGAATCTAAGATAGTCTCTATGTCCTGGAGTAACGAGAAAGTTATGGAACATTTGTTCAACGTCCGCGGTAACAGCAACTGCTTCCTTTCGAAATCGGAGCAGGATCCCGAGAAGACTGTTGTAGAGAGGAGGTCCTTTCAAAAGAACATCGTTGAGGGAATACCCATAATACTTCGCAGAAGAATCGAAGAACTCCCTGACGCTGTTGGGCTTCTTGGGATGATAGACACTGAATAGTGGTAAGTACCATTTTTCTGCATTACTGGTTGTTACAGGAACGGGTTCAGCATGCTGTCTATCCAGTATCTTCTGCATAAACTCTCGGACATGCGCTGCTTTGGTTGGGTTGTGTATAAGACTGTTCTTGAACGAAATAGCTCGTTTCATTGCGGCTTCTCGATTGTTGTGTAGAATGGGTCTACACGTCCGAAATGGTAGAGGTGCTGTCCATTTACCACACTCGGACATTTGGAATCCTAAGTCCATGATATCCAGGAAGGCCTGGTCTTCTAACGACAGCCCTTCACATTCATCATATGCTGTTTGCTTAAATACTGTGTCGTCTTTCACACAAAAGGAACTTTCACAGGGCTCCAGGTAGGTTGGTCTACCATTGGCTAGTATGGCGGTCTTGTTGACAGTGACAACTGTCTGTTCATGAACTGTTCCTAGACAGGAGTTTCCAATGAGGACCCATCCAAGGGGTAATATCTGTCCTAAAGGAACACCAACACGTTGGTCAAGCACTATATGAGTGTCAATAAGGTCACGACCAATAAGTAGTTCAATCGAAATGTGATTGTCAATGGTAGGTATATAGTGAGTAATGTCACTAAGGTGTGGGTAAATAGCCGCAACTTCAGGAGATGGTATCTCACTGCGATTTTGTGGTATCTCGTTGCACTCTATGATATCTGGTAATCTGAACACTTGTGATTGATCACAGGACTCTATCACATATCCGCATGCTTTACGTCCACTGTTTACAGATTCACCGGAACATGATTTCAACGTGTACAGATGGTCTGGACCGTATTCATGGAAACAATCAAAGAATCTAGAAGTGGCGAGAGTGTTGCTGCTTTGATCATCAATGATGCAGTAGATATATCTAGCAAGGTCACGTTTCTGTTTTGGATATACAAGGGCTTTCACGATCTTTGCACATGACTTGCTGGTGTTGAATGGCTTCCCACATATCTGAGTGCAGCTGGAACTAACAACTGGGAGCCTCTCCCCCTCATGGGATTCTACGGCCAGTGAGGTGGTATCAGGATCTTTGTGTAAGGCTGATGGATGATCAGAGCCTTTACAAACAGAACATAGGACAGTCTCATTACATTTTGACCTCATGTGCTTCTTTGGACCACAGCAACGAAAGCAGTAGCCCTTTTCCTTTATGAATGTTCTCCGCTCATCTAATGGTCGAGCACGAAATGAACGACACTCATTTAATGTGTGTTTAGAGTTTTCATGAATAGGGCACTTGTCCAAAGAAGAACCACTGTCTTTAAGTAGGGTTCCAGAGCTTTGTAGTTGTGTTTTAAATGCAGTCACAGTAGTGTTACTCTTACGACCTTGCAGCTTTACTGGGTGTACCTTCTGCTGTTCACTTCTGTTAGCGTCAGGTAAGGTGTCAAACTGTAGACTAGGGTCATTCTTCATCTTTGTGATCTTCTCCAAGAATGCCACAAACACAGGAAATGTAGGATATGGATGTCCAGTCCTCTGCTTGTAGTTTGTTGCTTCTGTCACCCATTTTTCTTGGATGTAGTGAGGTAACTTGGCCACAATTTGGTTCACACCTGACGATGAATCGAAGTAAGCGAGCAATGTTGAGTAGACAGGGTTTTCCTTCAAGGATTCGATTTCTGACACAATATCAAAGAGTTCATATAGCTTTGTATTGTCTTTGTTTCCTAGCTTAGGGAACTTAGCAAGTTTCCTCTTGATGGCAGACTCGACAACTTCCGGATTAGCGAAGCGATCCTGAAGGCGATCCCATATACGTTGTAACCCGCGACCTGGATTCGAGGCGTTAGCGTTTCTGATACTCTTTGCCTGAGTTGCTGATGAGGTGTTCCCCAGCCACTGAATCAACAGGCCCATCTCCTCCATGGGTGTGAGACTAAGTTCTTTCACTGCATTTTTGAATGAGGCTTTCCATGAGGAAAAGTTCTCTGGATTGTCGTCAAAGATGTGTATCTTTGAAACTAAGTCCTTCTTGGCGAAGACTTTAGCAAACTCCGAGCATGTGTTCATGTCAGTAAGTCCAGTATGCGGTGTTTGCGGATTGAACCCTGTACTGTTCATGTTATTTATTTGGACACCATTCGCGGAGGGAACAAAATAAGATGTTGGTTCTACTGTGTTATCCAACTGTCTCTGGGGTAAATTAGACTCACTTTCATCCTCCGTAGGAGCACGGTCTTGGCTTTGGGATCTTGTATCTTCTTGAGAGTCAACATAAGATTTTGTTCGTTGAAGTACTGATTCTGCTTCGAGTTGGTTGTCTTCAACACTGGATGGTGGAGCATAGCTCTCTCCCAGATCCGACATGTCATACAATGCCTCGAGGTTGCATTTCGCTTCTTCAACTTCACGTTTCGTACTTAGAATGATCTTGTTAGCATTAAGTTCTGCTTCCTGTTTGAGGAGAGCAGCTTCTTCTGCTGCAAACTTGAGTCGAGCCTTGGCTGAAGAGAGGCGTTCGGAGTGTTTCAGTACGGCTTCCCCTAGCTGTTTTGTGCCTCCCTGAGAGAGAAAGGACGATAACTTGGAACGCTGACTGACTCGCCCGGACACCGTCATAGATGAAGGCTTGTTCGGAACCTTAAGACGCTTAATAACATCACACACTTTGGTCTTAGTAGAGTCCAGAACTGCTTTCCACTTAGAATTCTCTTGTATACTGTCTGATGTTCTCAGAGTACTCAGGTAAGTTGAGTATTTAGTATATAGCTTATCAAACTCACTAATGTTTTTGTCCAGTTTGTTTATGATGCTGTTCACATCTCTAAGATGCACTGGATTTTTTGCGACGAAATCACAAATGTTGTCAATATCGCTTTGGCACTGTAATAGCCTCTTTGAATATGATGTAACGGTCTGAGTATATTGTTCCGATCCAAGTTCAGATAGCCCTCTGTCTTTCCGCAAGTCGTGGGACATCTCAGGATTTGTTTCTGTAGTAAATCCGTGAGCCATATTGAAGAGAGAGTGAAGAAAGCTGTGCCTAAGATTTCCACTGTAAGTGTTCACGAGCCAACAAAAATTTACGGAAAATTGTTTATTGCTCTAACCCACAAACCTCTCTCACCGAGGGTGGAAACTGAAAAATACATGTGAAGACAACATGAATTACATAATATAATACCACAAGACAACATAAGATATTCATACTATCACTTAATATCAGATTATCAAATAATGACAATTAAGGCACGCCATACACGAACAAAAATAAACGCACATTTCAAATCAATAAAACAGGTATGTGCATCACTAACAGTGTGGAAGCATTACGTATTATAATCAATTACATGACAAATGACAAATATTGACAGTGTACTTACTCTTTAGGGGCACAAACACCGAAATATAGATAAAAGTTTTGTAGAAAAAACGAGCATGGCCTATGCCGGAACAAACAGTAAACAAAGTAATATACGAACCAAATCCGGAATCAATTCCGGCGCTTTACTCATCAAAAGGGAAAAAATTAGATCTTCAGGGGAAATTTTCTGTAGGGGAAAAACACCCATTATCGGTAGTAAATATGCCCTAGATTAATCCCTGAACCCATCAAAATTATTCAAAATTGTATTTTTTTGATTGGACATCAAGCAAACTATTAGCAAGATTTTAATAAGCATTGAGTCCTACTAAAATTATGAAATTCATATAGCCCCAGGGTAGGTGGATCAGATGTAAAGGCACAGCTTTATTAATTAATCATAAACTGAAAATGCATTGATTCATTGAAAATCTATAGAATGCTCATAAGTTGAAAGCAAAAAGACTAAGTTCATGACAATGAGGAATAAGTTTTATACCCCTGTAATCAAAGATTCTGGGGTACATCTATATAGCTTTTGCCCTGTCTGTCTGTCTGCAAAATCTTTTCACATTGGCCATATTATTTTAGTGGGTGAAAGTATGGCCTTCATATTTCACAGACCTGGGTATTCATTGTGACAATACTTTTGTATTGGTACACCAAATTAACCTTTAGAATTGAACTTGGATTGTGACTAACTTTTAAGAAAGTTTCATAACTTGAATCTTGGCCATAACTTTTGAACAGTTGGTGCAAGGGCTTTCATACTTCACTTGTATATTTACTGTGACAAGACCTTTCAATGGGTATAAATTAAAATATTTGACCTTGAACTTCTAGTTTAACCCACTGTTTAAAAAAATTTAACTTTGATCATAACTTTTGAGCTGGTAGTAGTAGGGCTTTCATATTTCACAGATTTATTCTTTGTGACAAGTCCTTCCTTGGATGTCAACAATTTGACCTTTGACCTTGACTTTGGAGTTTGACTTACACTTGGGAAACTTTAACCATAAGCTGGCATATGGGGTATTAGTATATACAAACACATCTTTTTTCCGAGTACACGCACAAATCAATGCTATGTAATGAATTTTAGATAAGAGAATTACAAGGTAAATATTTGAGGATATAGTGAAAAAAATAGTTTAAAAGATCATGGTTATGAATACTAAAAAATTAATTATTTAGTATTTATATTTAAGTTATACAGAGAATCAACCAGGATTAATATCGGGATAATAATAATGTTCAGGGGAAAAAATGGGTTTTTCCCTTATTCCATGCTTCTAATATTTTCTTTTTCTTTACAGGCAAAAGAGAACTGGAGAAAAATGAATTGATGTTAACATACTCTACATTAAATTTGGTTTAAATCTAAATATGTCTTTTGTTGTGATTGCTTCAAGAGCAATTAAGGATCAGGAAATTTAAAGTGAAGGATAACCAGAAAGTGGATCATTCAACAGATGAAAAGAATATATGCCTTTGAGGGAAATTATGTCAAATGCATGAATTGAATATTTAAATTTCACGTAATTTTTGTTTCACCAACGTTTACAATATGTGAAAAAAATGTTCAAAACGTGTTTAACCATGGTTTGACACATTTTTGTATGGTATTCATACATTTACTATATGAGCAGTGCAAATAATAAACCCATTAAACATGTTATGAGAAACATATGTTACACACACACGTACGTTATTCATACGTGAAACGTATGAATAACGTACGTGTGCAATATATGTGTAACGTATGGTGGGCAATACGTACGTTTAACATACGTGACACGCATGATATTCACACGTGTGAAAACGTATGTATAACATACGTGGTACTTTTTTCATGGAAAATGTATGTGAAGTCACGTACGTGTCTCATACGTTTAACATACGTGAAATGTATGTGGCACAATTAGCTGTGTACATTTTGGCCGTGGTTTGCGACGATGAGAAATTTGGTGTTATACCTACAAGTTAAAATCTTTAAGTGCATCTGTACCTGAATAAAGAATATTTTTGGTATTCCTTTTAAATCTGGATCTCTGAATATTTCAACTATTTCCCGCACTGAGACACGTTCATCTTTAAAATTTGGTGAAAATTCGGTTTTGTCTTCTGGATGTGTCAAAACGTAATCCTCGTATGTTTCCACCTTGTCTGTCTGTCTGTCTTGGGTTTCCACATTGTCTGTCTGGCTGCCTTTTTGTTCATTTTGTGGTAGAATCACTCCATGGGAGGACACTGTCACCAAAAGGCATCCACACGAGCCATCACAGCAAAGTCTCTTAACTAAAACATATTCAAAAAACACTTAAAAACTTCTTATATCACATTATTATTAAGATCAGTATAAAAAAAAAAAAAATAAAATGAGGGACGAAAATTTCCCTTAATGCATTAGATATATCTCTAGATCTAGCTGAAACGTTTCTACTTTGATGTTTGGATTCATGTTTGATATAAACAGTGTATAGTGGATTAAAATAAACAGTGAAACATTGACTCACATTCCCTCAGTTCATCCAAAAATTTAGACTTGGATAAATTTCTTGTCAACTTTACATCTTCATGGTCAAATGGATAAATTTGAAACTTTAAATCTTCCAACATTCTAATAAAACTGTTCCTCTCTGGTATAATTGCTATTCCTCTCTTGAGTCCTTTATCACTGACTGAAAAATCCCAATCAAAGTTGACAGCTTTCCATGGCCTTCCCTTCATCACTTCATAAGCAGAATTCATCCTGAACTGAACCTAAAATTTAAACATGTTAACTATGAATCAATATCTTTTTAAAGATATACCGGTAGTCTCATAACTGCAACAGTGTGTGCAAACAAATTGAGCAACGCATATTATGAGACAAATTTTTCAAATAATAATCATTCATTGGTTATATCAGAAACCTATATACTAACCCGATAGGCAACTCCTTCAACGCCATGTTTATTTACCCAAAACATCACGCACAACACTACAAGTTTTTCAATTTACATTTATTCCAAGCAAGATGTCTGTTTTCTAATTAATGTCATTTATTCCTTTTATGTATAGGAATGGACTTTCAATAAATTTTTAAGCATATATTCTAATTTGATTTAAATATCAAGAAAATAAACATTGATATCGGCGATTTCTGGAAATATGGCCAATCGGGACATGCTAAAATAAGGAATATAATCAGTGTTAAAATCAAATAATTACTTTGCACTTCATAGGCGTTCATTGATTGTGACATCATATTAAAATGCATGTTTTAACCGGTTTGTCACCCTGTCCGTGTGATGGTGTTTTGAATGCTATAGATTACCATTCGTTCACTTTATATAATGTTATATGCAGAAAATAAGTGTAATGTAAATGTTATAGTTTTGACGTAAATATTTAAAATTTAGGACTTGATTACGTGACACATGTACGTACATGTACATGAAAAGGACTGGTTTTTTTTTCAAGAATAAGGCCCCCTGTTTTGAGATTTATTATATCATTTATCAAAATATAATTATCTTGACGATCGGGCTCGGGATTCAGTCATTAACGGATTTTATCATAAGGGATAAGATGAATGCTGAGTTAGTCCGGATGTTGCGCTAGAGTATATGATTGCGCCCATGGGAAAAGGGCCCTTATGGCAATTTTTATACATTTTGAGTTTTTCACGGATTTTGATAGAGTAAGGTTAGAAGTTGCCAAATATGAATTTTCATGGTCCTACGTCTACTCTAAGTAGGTTTTTTCTTCATTTTTATCCAAGATACGTTAACAGGTTCAGTATGACGTCATGTTTTTCAACAACGTCAAACGTTTTCCGAGTGAACGTAAAATGATTTTCTTCTGCAATTTTACTACGGTAATTAATAGTTGTATAATATTTAATATTTACCAGGTACATATCATTTTTATCTCATTGTCTCTTTTAATTATTAATAATTATTTAATTGTTATACATGTATATAATATATTATGAATTAATCAGTGGTGTATAGAATTATGAGTTACTGCTTGTTTTACATTTCGCTTTTCTTGGACATCAGGAAGAGACCTGAACAGTGGGGCGACATCGTTCAGTTTTTTTTAAACAATTATTTTCTCAAACAAAATATTAAGAATTTTGAACAAAATTGGTTCGTCATTTTTTTTTTGTCATTAATTTCAAAATAATATCCAAGAGACAAATCAATAATAACTATATCCTGTAATTTTTTTGAATAATGCATTTTAATGTATAGATTTTGTTGGGTAGGGGTGGGTTAAAAATTAATATTATGCAATTGTCCATGCCTAAATATACAGTCAGTTAAATATGACTGTTTTGTATAATATATTTCCAGACAATTGTCTGTGAACTGGCTGAGTTTTAAAATGTCAGATTTTTGTAGGGATGTAAGCATCATAGAACATTCATCATATTATTTTATGACTTAATTTTAAAAATTCCCCTTCATTTAAATGATTTTGTTTTCTACTTTTATTTTATGAAGTGAATTTTACAGAGTATGAATTCCATTCTGTTCCCGTGCCAGAAGCTTTGATATATGCTAAGCCTTGTAAAGCCTTACATGTTACAGAGATATAAAAGGACACCCCGATCCCCTGCACTGCGGCCAAAATAAAACAAAATGCAAGCATGTTGTTGCGGTTTTGTGTCGTGTATTTTCAGCATTGAATTTTATTTTATGTCAGCGTTTACATGAAGAAATAAAACCCGACCCTGGATTTATAAGGATTTTTTTTGTCAATCAAAACAAACAAAATCATAATATGTACTTATACAAGTATAATGATATTTAACCATAATTTGATGGCAGGTTAAACAATATATTCCACATTGATAACTGCAATGAGATTATAAGTCCAGTGATGAAATGGTTTTTTGCATGATAATTGATCTGTTAGGAGACATTCAATGCTGATCGAGCTTTTGTGAAAGACAAAGTTCTTCATGGTTTCAGGGATTAATTTGCAGATAATTCTTAAAAAATTTGAAATCTGTTTAAAAAAAACACCATGTAAGTACCAAAAAGATACATGTATATTAAATTCGGAGATCTTGAAAATACCGGTAAATAGCCATACATGTAGTTTAAATAACAAAAAAGAATTTTTTCTTCGTTTTAGAGTATTGTATTATTTTGTTTGATTTGAAAACTTATCTTTTTCAATAGAGTTTCACACTTCTCAATATAGGATAAATAGATTCTATATAAATATCTTTATCTATACCCTCCATCCTCTCTCTCTCTCTCTCTCTTGCCCTCTCTCTCTTATCAGATTTACTTGAACAGCTCTATTCAATTAAGTTAGGACATTTAAAACATTTTTTTTTATTTGGATGTTTTTTGCTTGTTTTAATTTCTCTAAATTGAAGTGTGTTATAGTGCAACAAGAAAATTATTAAGACAAAACAACATTTTTAAATTTAATTTATTTAATCATGATTCATGATACGTTAGATACTTTAAATGTATATTATTTTTTTTAAAAATGAAATTCAATATTAAATCATTTCATGCAAAAAAAAAAAGCTTTGGATGAGAGATTTTAAAAAAACCCAGACATTTTGAGACCCAGACGTTTTTAAATAAACGTTTGTTTATTTAATAATTACTGTTTTCCTTTTTTTCCCTTTGTTTTTCCTTTTCTACATTATCGGGACCTTGTTCCCAAAGTACAACAATATTGTTTATTAAAAAAATCATAATTATGCTGACAGTTAAAAGTGTTTTTATTTGGTCAAAAGATCTCTTTTATAATCCGGGAGAAAATTCAAATTCATACAACTGAAAGTTCCTCTCTGGTACCCCTGTTATATCGATTGTTGACATCAGAGTTATCTCTCCTATTTTTTATTTATAGAAAATACAAACATCTTAAAGTTTACTGTCGTTCTTACACATTTTTGTTTAATTTGTAAAAACATAAAAGATGTATGTTAAGTTTCAACATTAGTACAAACAATTTAACAAAAGTTAAAGTAGTATGCACAGATGGATCATTGTTTACATGTGATTGACGCGATTGCAATGTATATCGAGATCTCAAAAAAGGAAGACAATCTTCCTTTGCAATATTTTAACAATATACCCCGTCTAACATGCATCCTAAATCTGATATAAATATGTAAATAAAATTTATCTATCTAGTGTATACAAGTTGATTATTCTATCAGAAAAGCACCTTGTCGACAGCTTCTCATCTTCGGCAATCGCTAGCGAAGATGTACTGATGTAGGAAAACTGTTGGTGTTAGAGATGTGTAATAGATATGTTTGTTAAGAAACCAGTTCTTAATATTTTCATTTATATATATTAAAATCAGTGGATTGGGAGATTCAGATATTGTTTAAATTTATTTATAAATGAAAATAAATTCCACATGTTGGAAACAGCAATAAAAACTTTGGATGCGTCAAACGTCAAAACACGTGGTTAAAAAAATTCTCGTCGAAGTTCAACGTCAGTCTGCAACGTCACATCTTTATGACGTTATTTCTCTGTTCTAGCAAAAATGCCATAAGGCCCTTTTGTCATGGGCGCAATCAATTATATAAGTGTGCATCCGAGATAGTTTGTCATTCTGCGTTGGCTGTCAGAGAAGAAGGTCCTCTAACGGGTACGGTGATTGGAATAAAGAGAATAGTCATTGTGAATACTTTCTATTTCCACTATAGAAGAGTTATAGTTCTTAGTGCGCTCTTTTGTGAAAAAGTTGGAGAATGTACAAATCTCGCGGGATTTTTGGGACAAACGTAACATAAACATGTAAACAACACGTTGAATGCCGATGAACAAATCCTTACAAAATCCATATGAAATATTTTATTGATGTGGACTTTATTTAAATCAAGAGTAGAGATGACAAGGATATTAATTTACATTTGTTGGTGATCGTATGTATATCTATTTATCGTAATGGTACATTTAAAGTCAATTTACACACCTCGGAAATGTATTTTTATTAATGGACGATAAAGTTTGGGTTTTCGCTCTTTCACATATGTTTTTTCTTTAGTTAGAATAAAAAATGTACTTAACATTTATAATTGGATTGAAACTGACATGTTTTGTATTATCTGCAATCATCGGCAATGCCATGCTGTCCCAGTCAGACGACTAAATGCGCCTCTTATTCTGAAGAGTGCACTAATGGAAATACAACGTATTAATACAACTGTACAGTGTTATATTGTGTTTGGCTTGTTATTGAAAATACAGTGGCATTTCACTGTACATACAAGCTGTGTATCTTGTATCTAGCTGCAGCCTGTGCAGTACAAAGGGATACAGCCGTTTATTGACATGGCTGGGGTAGATCCCTAAGGCACACATACCCGGACAGAGCCTTGTTAAAGAACCTTTTTTATTTCTTATTGTTACTTTTCGATTTGTTTTATAACAAACAGATAGATAACCCTAAGAATATATGTATATATTGACTCGTTGTTTTTTATATTAGCTTTTGTAATTATTTTCTTGTAAAGTTGATCATTTTTAAACAACAATTTCTGTATTCAAATAACCCTTGTAATGAGCAATATAACCATAAAGATTATTAATAATTTTAAACAGGAAAACAATATTTTTATAAAGCAAAACATTCTACTTTCGGTTTATCTGAAAACAGTTCGAATAATATGTGTAGATTCTATAAACATGATAAATAAGTCAGTCTCTATTTTGTTTTTCATAAATTCACATTGAACATGTTGAGATAAATAGAATAAAAAAGATACCTATCATATAAATGCTCAGTTTACTTAGGTTACTGATGATATATTGCAACTGAGTTGGACTTACCGCTTTTAGCACTGACGGTGTAATGATATTTCGCACCTGTCCCTTCGAAACCGTATACCACCACACACAAAAAAGAAGACACGAATACCACAAACAAGGATAACAATGGGATAAGCGACAGTAATTCTATACTTTACAATGAAGTCCATTTTCAGACTCCATAC